ATGTATGTGAGTATGTATGTATGTATCTATGTATGTATGTATGTATCTATGTATGTATGTATGTGAGTATGTATGTATGTATGTATGTGAGTATGTATGTATGTATGTATGTATGTATGTATGTATGTATGTATGCATGTGAGTATGTATGTATGTATGTATGTATGTATGTATGTATGTATGTATGTATGTATGTATGTATGTATGTATGTATGTATGTATGTATGTATATAGAATTTTGTTTATCTGTGTGATTATTTAATTACGGAATTATCTTTTTTTACTTCATCCTGCAACAGGATGACTAACGGGAGGGCTACTCCTGTATAAGCTATGCCCTCTCTTTTTGTTTTGGATGTGTAAACTGTCTAATTGTGAAACAGTAGAATAAATAATTAAATAAAAATAAAAAACATATACATAAATGAAAATGATTGAATACAATTGCAGCAGGCAGTTATAAATATTGTATGAATTGTTCTATATAGTCAAATATATGCGGCCACCTTTAAACTACACTAATATGACTGTTAAACGAGTCTTTTTAAAACCATGGGTAATAGTACGCTGATATAGGAGCTGTGATTCTTCTACAGACCTGGTGAGGCCAATACTATTCACAGGTCTGCACGATTTCTGGAGCCTGGCTGCAAGCATTTGCTCCCAATCAGCCCTAAGAGCATGATTAAGTCTGAGTGCTGATGTTGGTCCATGAGGTCTGACCCTCAGGTGACTTTTCTATTCAATCTGCACGGCTGGACTATTAACTAAATAAAGCAGGCAGCTACCACAGGGCAAAAATACTCGTAAAAGGGTTGGCACTCCTGAATACAGGCTTTCAAAAGAAAATGTCCCAGTGTTGGGCTCAAATCAGCATATTCATTTGACAGAAAAATGACATGCATACTGACAAAAAGAGAAAAGGAAATTCTTGATTGATTCAATGTGCAATATACCAGATGAAGTGTCACCATCCTGTCACCTGGAATAAATAGATTCTTATTGCATCTGTCAGTGTGCAGGC